GGTCGTAAAAGTAGCTGATATACCTCGGACTGAGCATCCAAGATATTGGCTACCGTTCTTGAGTTTAGATGCTTAAAACAATTCAACAGATTTGCCTGTTTGTTCGATTAAAAGTCGCTACTATTTTTGCGTAATAAGTGAATAGTTGAGAGTTACTTACAAGTGTTCGCCAATCATTAGTGTATCTGGTAAAGCTCGTGTACTTGTTCGACTTTCCGACGAAATGTCGAGAATACAAAATGGCGGATTAATGAGAAACTGCTTAGGCGAATATATGCGCTTTGCTGCGCTGCACTCGATAATTCTAATTAGATAAGAGCAGCATATAAACAAAGCAGAAAAATGCTAACATGCGATTCATACCGTCTACTACCATCCTCCATTAACATATCACTTTCGAATGTGTCACCCCAGAAATTTTCAGGCACCGATGTGCCACATCTGCCCGCTTGCTCATATGAAAAATCTTCAAGTACATTTGGATAACAACCGTTCTTTTTGCTAAAGAGATAGATGAGAAAAGTTAGAGCAAGTGGCATGACGCCGCCAATATTTCATATTATTTTTACCGAAATATAATTTGACAACTTTGTGTTGAACGTTCTAATTGAGGGCAATCACTATACGAACAACGGCTATGTATTACATGTTTTTGCAAGATGTTTATGTGTTGAAAAACTGTTGCATCAGTACTCCCGAGAACATTGTACTGATCTTCAATTTCAGTTTGATTAGTATAATTTGATATATTATGCCGCAGTAACCATATTAAACGTGCGTTGTCCCATGACTGACTTGAATGTTTCATGCAGAATATTGTACCCATCGATATTTCTTGTGCTGTCAATGGCAGTTTGGGTTGTATGGCGAGTCTGATACATTATATACAACAGAAATAAAGCGCTGTCAAACGTACATGTATTCAAGGCGTGGTACTTTCTTTGCCCAATGTAACAATCACGAATACCCCACTTTGGCCAACGAATACTGAAACCCATTAGAATACTGGTTTCTGAATAGTTGTCGATTGCGGCTTCCTTCTTAGCGATAATCGCTATACCGACTGTTTTTCTCGATTGGTTTGTTGCTTCCATTGCCGATGATGTTCTTTCTAAGATGTAATCTTTACTTGAATATCTCATATTTGGCTGCCGACGTCTCGAACTTCTACGACTGCTGTCTGTGTTGATAGTGGTCTCTTGAGGTGACGAACTATTGTCAGTTTGTGATGACCGATGAACTGTGTTATTGTCTTGTGCATTTGTAGTAAACCATCTCGTGTTTTTTCATTCATAGTTTCAGCCTCAGATATTTCATTCAGCTAAGCCATTGAAACGCTGAAAGCAAAAATACAAAGCCTCTGTTACTTCAGCCAAAAATAGTTAACTATCATTAGAACTATCATTATATAAAGTTTAAGGGCTGTCAGTCGAACAGCAAACTTCCAAACTTCACATTTACTTCCGCCATTTAGAACTTGCGAATTTATGAACTTACGACTTTAAGAACTTATGAAGTTCTGGACTTCTAGAATTTATAAATTTCTCGACTTTATGAATTTATGAATTTAACAACTTCAGGAGTTTATGAATTTATGCATTTCTCGACTTTATGAATTTATAAATTTCTCGACTTCTAGAATTTATGACTTTTTAGGATTTATTAATCTATGAAATTCTAGAATTGACGAATTTATGAATTTCTCGGCTTTGAGAATTTACTAATGTATGAATTTTTGAACTTCTAGAATTTGTGAATTTGGGTTTTAAATTCCAAAAGTTCATCGCTATATCCACCACACAGCAGCGCTTAAATTCAAATTTGGAACTTTTACGTACACGGGACGTCTCTATAAAGTTTTATTCGACTAGTTGTTAAATGTCTCAGAAAATGCTCTCATAGAGACTGGAATATTCGTTAATACTCTGTCTGCTTAGGAACAAACTAATTTGAATAGGCTGGAACTTACCTTAATTGCGCATCTCTAAGATCCTTATACTCTTCCGTCGAGATGCTTCTTTTCGGCTTCAACGGAAATAACGCACATCTAAAAGTAGAACCCGAAGCTAAATGACATATGTAATTTATAAGTCAGTTACATACGTAGTTTGCTTCGCTAACGATGGTCTTTTTGTGATTCTTCCTAAATAGACCGATCTATCTGTGTTCCTTTTACGACTATTCCATACTTCGATTATGTTAATATCAGTATTATTTTTCGCACGCTTTCATCGACCTTTATTTGTTTGAGTAACTCCATATTTACCAGCTTTTAATCTTGCCTGAGTGCTTTGAAAGATTTTAGAAACGAGTAGTGCCGGCCGCAGGCGTGTTTTTCGTTGAAGACGAGACACTTTTATAATAGAAAAATAGGATTCGACTGTGACATTCGACAGACGCCCAGCGCCTATATTTTTTGTGTCACTTGTACAAACCAAACCATCACTAGCATAACTATAAGCAGTCGGTGGTGAGTTAGAAGTTGAGTAAGTTATCTATAAACTTACCGTTCCACAAATTGATATAGACTAGAGCTCCACATTGGAACATAAGCGAGCCACCTGTACAGAACTTTCACGACCGGTTTAGAGTAACAGGGATTATTCACCTTTTTGACCTCCTTATTATCCCACATACTGTTCAAAATTTTCACTCGCTTTTTTGCCTCACGATTGAACGGCGATTGATGTATGATAGGAATATCAGGTTGCTCTAAATCTTCCACTTCTTCTAGTGGATCGGTTATTTCGACTTCAAGTGGTTCTTCCGCTTCCGGATCGTATC